TAAGGTTTAGAGCTTAGGGGTTTAGGATTTAGGGTTTAGGGGTTTAGGGTTTAAGGTTTAGGGTTTAGGGGTTTAGGGTTTAGGGTTTAGGGTTTAGGGTTTAGGGGTTTGGGAGTTTAGGGTTTAGGGTGTAAAGTTTAGGGCTTCAGGCGGCCAGGCCTCTTTGGAGGCTTCACCTGGGCTAGGCATGCCAGAGCGGTTGGACTAGAGTTCTGAAGAACAAAAAGACACAATCTTGCTAAAGGTTCAGGCTTCTATTTTAGCTCCAGAGACATTTCGACTGGCCAGAGCTTAGGACGTAAATCTGAATTCCCCAAGACAAGACCCCTGTGTGACCGCTTTTGGACCTCCAATGGGGGTTCAGCCTTGCTAACGGCTGTAAAGGCTCAGGCTTTCCGATAGCAAATTCAGAAATGTGCCTGCCAACCTGGCTGTGGCTAGCAGGTCAAGATCAAAAGCTACAAGTCTTGCAGTTTACAAACTGAAACTGGTTCAAACTTTGCAAACATCTGCCAAACAAGTCGTTTTGAGGGTTTGGCGTGAAGCTTGCCAGCCCACCCCTGGACCAACACGAATTCCAAACCCACCTCAACCTCAGCTCGAGAAGCCCTGTGAATCTAAACCCCCTTCAGACTCTCCAAGCCCCAGCCCCCTCAAAGGTCATTTGAGCAGGGTCCTGTGGTTTCTGACTCTTTAGTCGTGAGTTCTACGGACAAATTGGGAAAACAAAGATAGTGTTTCGTATGCCCTCTACACTCGACTGCTGCTCTGAGCCAAACCCAAGTCCGAGGAGCAATTACCCAAAGGGTCCTAAGAACCTATATAGTAGAATGTAGGGTTTCCATAATAGGAATTAGCATTATGATTTAGGGAAGTATGCCCCGTAACAGTACATAGGACCCTTTACGTTACACGCACACTCACTCCAATGAGAAATGCTGCACTTCCGGGCCTGCAAGCAATAGCCCGAAACTGTAAACCCTGCAAATCGTCAGGGCCGAAGATCCCCCGAAACCCTAGGGTTTAGGGTTTAGGGTTTAGGGTTTAAACCCCAAACCCGAAACCGGCAACCCTGAACCCTCAAGGCCCCAAACCCTAGGCCCCCAAGGCTAAACTCGAAGCCCTTGTGAACCGCAATTGAACCTCACAGTCGCTCTCTGCCCTGAAGCCGGAACCCTGCTAAAAACCCACAGGGCTCAGGGTTTAGGGGTTTAGGGTTGATTATTCCCGCAACCCACAAAAGTGGACAACAGAATGAAGCAACACCTACCAAAATAAGCGGCGACGATTCTACATACTCTGGGGGTCCAGGTAACAATATACCTAGACCCTTTTCAGCACGGACTGAGGTGCCGGCCAGCGCCCATGCAACCCTCACCCCGTCTTAAGGCAAGAGCGCTAAACCCTAAACCCTAAACCAATATATGTTATGGACTTGGGTCGCCCGTCATTTAGGCAATCGGAGATTCAGGGTATCATCGCTACACTCCGTCAAAAACCAGGGGCCTCAAAAGGAGTGATGAAGGTAGGTACGGTAAGATTAAGGAGCCTTTATGTAAGGTTTCGTGTTATAGGGTTTAGGGCTTTATTTAAGGTTTCGTTTTATAGGGTTTGAGATTAAGGAGCCTTTATTTAAGGCTTCGTTTTTATAGGGTTTAGGGTTGCCCCACCTAGCTTCATCCCACACTGTGAGCCTTTTGACAAGTAAACCCCACACCTAAACCCTGAAGTCTAAGCCCCAAACCTAAACCCTAATATGCTCAGGCGCTGCGGGGTCACGACGGTCAGCGGGAGTGCCGCTTCATTCCGCCTGTAGTCCAAGACCTTAGGGCCAGGAGCCCCCAACAAAAACCCTTTAATTCATATAGAGGCCTTAACAATTAGAATAGGGTTCGGGGTATGTTATACTATAGTTGTAATAAGGAACCCCCAACCCCTATTCTAATTATTCAGGCCCCTACATTCATGATTCATGGTGTATAGGGCCTGTTTTGGGTTCAGGGCTCCGATTACCCAAAGACTGGGTTGCCCGGGTACATAACATACTGTTAATAGTAGAGTTTCATATGAGAATTCAGCTACAATCAGATGTACATTCCTTGATGGGGGCTGAGCATATGTAGGTTTGGCATTTTTCGGCTTCTGAGCTTGCGACCTGCAGTGAGCACGGATGAGGTACACGGGTTAGGGCGTACAGCTGTGGGATTGTGAGGTCTGGGTTTGCGTTTCCAGGTGTTTAAGTTTGAGCTGGTAGAGTTTAAGCCTGGGCTCGCTGCGGTTTTGCATAGAACTGACTATGTTAATCTCCAACAAGTACCGGAAGTCTGAATGATTCTGAATGAGTGTTATGGCTTAAAACGTTAAATTGGCACGGCCTAGGTAATTGTTGTGCCCTCGCCTTAGGGTATGGTTGTGCAAGCAGCTATCACCATTGCAGGGGGTTGGTTTCAAGAATGTAGTGGTCAGTTTGTGTTGTGCCTTGATTTTGCTCTCGTGTTCGGACACTCTGCCTGAAAGTGCTGGACGACGTTTGCGCAGGATATCTTTGCTCTAGCTGAGCAGACACCTTCTGTCGGATAGCAATCTTGATGAAGGTCGTAGATGATCACACGGGTCCCTTGCCAGTTCATCACCAAGTTCTCGGCATACCACAATTTTTTGATGGGCCCCCGTCGTCCCCCAAACCCTAAACCCATAAGGTTTCCGTTCTAGGGATCCTTTAAGAGAGTTCCTTTACGGGCTCCTTTAAGGGCTCTTATATACTTAGAGGATCATGGGACTTAGTAAATAAGATTACAAATCCCCTAATTGGGGTTATAAGTATAGTTACCTTAGTTATAACCCTACTTACTAAGTCCCATGATCCTCCTAAACCCTAAACCCTAAACCCTAAACCCTACTTACTAAGTCCCATGATCCTTTAAGTAGTGTCCCCGGATTTCGTCCCAGGGCCCAGACGCTCAACAACATGTCCGTCTCCGCGGGTGAGAGTCGGCCGATGACCTGCTCCAAGGGGAGGTGCTTAGGGTTTAGGGCTCGTGGGGTTTATTTAGGGCTTAGGGTTTAGGGCTCGTGGGGTT